AATGAAGGAAGAAAGGAAGGAAGGGAAAGGAAGGAAGGAAGGAAAGGAAGGAAGAAAGGAGGGAGTGAGTGAGGCAGGATGGAAGGAAAGAAGAAAAGAAGGAAGGAAGGAAGAAAGGAAGGGAGGGAGAGAGGAAGGGAGGGAAGCTGGAGAGTAAAAAAGCAAAAGCTGTACATGGAAAAGCTTTTAAGAAGCCCTTCTATCCTAACCCTGAAGGTCGGCATGTCATTTGACTAGTTCAGGCTGTGTAGTCACTGTCCACAAGTCTTCATGAAAAAAATTAAAATGAAAAATTAAAAAAGCTTTTTGTAAAATTATGTTTAGAATCAAGGATGAGTTTTGATCCTGAGTTTGATTCTAGCATGAATTTTCTTTTGCTGATTAAGTGGCTTTCATGTTCCTCATTTACTTTTATGGATCAAAAGACATCAAGATACCTCATTGAGCAGTTCCTGCCCCACAGATCTTACTGATCTAATCTTCAGGTCTGTGATCTCTAATTCCTGCAGTTTGTCCACATACTCCCATCACAAGGGACAGAGCTAAGTAAGTAGTGTATATACTAGTCCAAAGAACTATAAATAAAAATGTTTTGCACCTTTCTTTCCTGCTCCCCAGGATACAATCAGAAATTTTCAGGTTTGCTGTTGCTGAGGAGAAGCTGATGTGTTGCCTTTTTTCCTAACATCTACTTCTACATGCTCTACCACTTCTCACCTCAGGGTGTGGTTTTTCATATCAAACAATAAAAAATCTCAACTCAATATCCTATATGCTACATTACGATTATTTTCAGACAACATGCAACTGGGTAGAGAGCTATCCAGTTAGGCTGTTAATGAAGGCCTTTATGAGATAATTGAAAACATATGTTGGCCATGCACACCACTCCGATTGTCCTTTTGCTGATGATTAGGCCTGATCCTCCCACAATGGAGATGCAGACTCAGAGGGGTTGTGAGTTCTGGTCTGCACCATGATATATTTTGAGCATTATTATATGTTTTTTCAATATGTTTGGCTGTACGTGATTAATAATTGTCCTACAGTACATTGTCCTGTTCCACCAGCAACAGTCTGAATTCATTGATATCATCTCCTTAAAAGTTTGAAACCTCTCAGTGACAGGAATATTAATGTGCCAACACTGTCATATCTATTTCAGCTCATACATATGCAATGTCTTTGTTTTCAAAGATTTATGTCAGACTTTGCTGAAGTGAGGTATTCTACCATTTTAGATAATAGCATGCCAAAGTGATGTTATCAGGCACATTCAGCACTCATTCAAGCAAATGGGAAGGAGCACCCATTCCTTCATAACTTAAACAGAGAGAAACTGTTATTTATCCTTATTTGATGAAGAAATCTTTCAGGGGGAAACTGTATTTTTAGAAGAAGATTATGGTCATCCTGTGGATTATCTTTTAATTATGAATGGATGATTTGTGCCCACTCTGCTGTAGCAAATGTCTTGCTGCTAATGAAGTTTAAACAGACTTACTTTATTTAATTACAGCTAATCACTAGGGTAAAATGTGGAATTGTCTTTGATCCACATGTAGAGTGGTAATCCTTGTGGCAGATAGCATCTCTTATTCCCTCAAACTCTTTTCAGTTTCTCCAGGAGGTCCCAGCTTAACTAAGGGTTAATTGAGATAGCTGGACTGGTGTGATTGATGTATTTTTGTTCAGGGATGCCATCCTGCCTTTCCAAGGACTCTCTCTCTCTCTCTCTCCCTCTCTCCCCTCCACCCCCTTCTCCCTGTCTCTCTCTCTCTCTCTCTCTCTCTCTCTCTCTCTCTCTCTCT